GATTCCTCGTCAGAGTTGGACACATGTTTTGAAGCTCTAATGGTGTGATTAGCTTTGAGATGGTTTATCCATTTTTTATAAGGCGAATTACTATTGTTTGAGTTATCAAAAGAGAAAGGCTTGTTTGAAATCAAATTATCGAAGAGCACTGACATTCTGAAATTGATGTAACCCTCATAACAATCAGCGTCATAATAAATAACTAACTGTTCTAGCGTTCTATGAAAGATGCCGATGTATTTTTTGACTAACTTGGCGAAAGTTCCAAGCGAGATTAAAAATTCAGTGATGGCCAGCACGATATTATTGGAAACAACTGGAACTGTAAGGTTATCACTTTGTATTAAACAGTTTAAATACATATTGTCGGATTTAGTGATGCCTTTAAAGTCAATATACTCATCGGAGTAAGGTTTTGTTTCTAAAAACGAGTAGAGTATATATGCATACTGTCGAGCTAACAAAATGTTGTTGAGGAAGAGTTTGGCTAAAAAGCGCATTGTTGAAGAAATTTTCAGTCTGATTTTTTCGTTTTGCTCAGCGATTTCGTCTATATTGTCCACGTCTCCAAGAAGTTCAATGAGTTTGTCTGGCCTCAAGTCGTCTTTCAATAATTTCAAAAATTCCGTCTGGCAAATCGAAATAAGGGATCTATTAAACAGATTTCTGTTCTTGCCAAGAAGAAGCAGCGCGACAGTTATAAAATCCACAATAATGTGGATGTTTAACTCGTTACTCGTTGCTTGTTTGTATAAACACGTAGTAACTGCGCGAATTAAACTTTCTTCGTTCAAAAGATTAAAGATTCCCAAAATTTCAGGAACGATAACACAGAAATTATCAGTTGACAACTTGTTGAGCAAGGCTTTAGTCTTTCGCGAAACCATTTTTTCTTCTGTGAAGTCAGACGGCTTAGATGGCGGGACTATATTACTCAGGGGGAAACCTTCACTGGTGAGATTTTGTGATTTTGCAGTTTCGAGTAAAACAGCTGAGGAGACATAAGGTTTGTTTTCCTGATGCTTACTTTCGTATGAACTATACTTTTTGGAAGACATCATTATGTAATAATGCATAGGCAAGTTACGGAAAACTAGACACGCAACTTCGGACTTTAGTTGGATTTTTTGAGCTATAATACTATGAGCGTGGCTACGCCTAGCATAAAAAAAATCAAACGCGTATTTCACGACAGAGGCACTTTTTTGAGGACTAAAATTATGACGATCTTGTTTATTAGTTCTGGAAAAGCTATTCCGTGAATCGTGGTTTGGTTTGTTTGAGTCAGTGTGCGAGGTATGAATTGTGGAGTGACAACTTCGGAATTTGCAGTTTGCCAGCATTTCTATCATTGCATCGACTGGTTCCACATTTGCGGTATTTTTAATTGATTTATCTGACGAGTCTTTTTTTTTGTTAGAACAAATTGCCAGATCAAAATCTTCATGCTTGAGTGTGAAGATAGTTTCGTAAAATTGCTTGAGCTCTGTTTTATCAATTTCTAAATGGTTGGAGAATAAACTATTAAAAACGGTTGCATCTGTTTCATCAAATCTCTCTATAAAAGTTGTTTTGAGTTTATCTAGTGAAAGCTCATTGTATAAAGCTTTTGTTCCAAGAGTTCCACTTTTGAAGTTTTCGTTCAGTTGTTTTTTAGCGTCTTTCATCAATTTTGTAGTTTTGTCTAAAATATTCTTATCTAATCGAGCAAATACGTTTTGGTTGTTTATTAAACTTTTGACATTGTCGTTATGACAAGATAAATAAAAATTATCTGTACTGAATATGCTTTGAAACTGAGCTTCACTAAATATGTGATCCGAACTGTATTCATAACCGTTGTTCCGAGATAAAATTTGTTTACTAGGCCAAAAAGAAATAGTTGACGAACTCCTTGTATTGTTTACTGCTTTATTTAAAAAATTATAATTTTTGTCAGGATTAGCCGTAAAATTTCCTGTATGCATTCTAGATACATTACTAGGATGCTTGTACACTCTTTCATTCTTATTTACTTTTTTTCCGTCAGAAATTGTGGATTCATCGTTACTATTAATCTGTTCGTTGACTGAGTTATCAGTTGTTTCAACTTTAGGGTCTAAGCGACTGGTATTACCTCTGTTCTGTGTTTCAGTTTTTTCTGATGAGATCAAATGAGGAGCTGAACTAAAACCATTAAAATCTCTGTTGTGTTTTATATTGCGTTTATCGTAGTTGTTATACACGAATCCAACTTTTTTTTTTATCAAGCTCGACGTGTTATCATTATTATTTTCTGATTTAGAAAAACTAATTTTTCTTGACGTTGTAGCATTGTCTTTGCTAGTGCTTCCAGATTTAGATTCGTTAGGTTTTTTATTGTTGACCAAAATTGTTTTCGTGTTTCTTGAAACGTCTAAATTCCAAGCATTATCCGACATGAAATATTTTTTTATAAATTAAGTATATTGACATTTATGTACAAGATATTATTCTAAACTATTCTGAGAAAAATATAGAATAAACCAATATTATTTTAATAATAGTTTTCTACTTATTTTTTGCTAATTTTTTTAATTTTAAAGAGTTTTCTCTTTTGTGTAATTTCTACTATATAATAAATTACATTATATTGTCTTTAATTTAACGTTCATACATAAAAATTTGTTGTTCAAGCATAATCGCTCAATATGTTTGATAATTTGCCGATATTGGTTTATGAAAACTTACAGTTTTTTCTTTTTGTACTAAGTCTGATTATTGTTGCTCTATCTGAATTAATATTTTATACTCGCAGCTACAGAAAAAAAGAATTTCGAGATCTTGAAAAAAAAATTGCATATGTCGAAAAAAAGATCAATGACAAACAGTATGAACAAACAGATGATGAAGAATTAATAAGGCTTATTCATGAATTTAGACGTTTATCGGAACAACTTTCTAGAAGACTCATTAAACTAAATCTTATGTCCATAACTTTTATTGTGATCTCTATCGCGGCCATCACAACAAACTTTAAGTCTGTAGTTATTGGTGAGCTTCCATTCAAACCATATCCTTGGCTACGGGAATTGATGCAGTGGACCGTTGAGAGCGAAAGAGATCGTGATATTAGCGCTCCCACTTGGTATATTATGTGTTTAATCGTAAATGCACCGCTAATAAAAAATGTAATGCCAAGGATATCTGAACCGAGAATTCGCAGACTGAATTCAATAACGAAATTGATCAATAAAGAGCATACATTGTTAGAACAGAGATAGCGACGGAATCTTACTTTTTAAGTTATTAGTTTGATCCGTTGGCAAGTCTTTAGACGACAACGAGTCAAATAATGCAATCATAGCATCTAGTCTACGAAGAAGTTTTATGGGAATGTGACACAAGCTAAACTGATCCAGTAGCTCTTTACAGAGCAGGAGTAAAGATGAAATGGGTTTGATGTATTTTTTTTTTTCTATAACAATGTTTTTAGGTTTGTCAAGATTAACTACGTTCGGGTAAATGACGAACTTATTCGTATCGTAATTATAAAAAACTAATATAGTGTTCATCAGAGTATGAATTAACTGTGCTTTGCGAGCCAATACAAGTTGCAAAAAATTAAATTGAAGATTTAGTTCGTCTACATTTGATGAATCTGTCAAACAATTTTTAAGTTTTTTTCGTTCATAGTGAGAAGTGCTGATTTGCATGGTGTTAGACAAAATATGAATGCTGTGATACATCCACATTAGCGTTTCTTTGAAAATTGTGTTGCAGTCAATTGGTTTTTCAACAGCAGGAAGGTCGTAGGACGTTTTGACTACGTAGGCTACGGAACTTAAAATACTCGAAACAATGTTTGAAATACTGTTGTAAGCTGACTCTTGAAAATCGTTAGAATATAATTCTGTTTTTTTAGCTGTTTGCAAAATCTCCCAGATACGTTTCAGGCTGAATGTGTACTCGTTTAGCAGCACTTCACTCAAACTATATTTACTGATAGAGCTATTTAGTAGAAACTGGTTTTGATCGACAAAAGTAGTGTGGTTTGAATCTAAAGCAGTAAATAAATGTTGTGGAGTTTTGTGTGCTATAATAGATATAGTTTCGTTGCTTAAATAGAACAGCATTTCAAGATGGTTGTTAAAAATATTTTCGAAGTTGATCGCGTGGCTGACTGAGATCGAAAGGATAAAATCAACTAAGTGGTAAATATTTGTTGTTTCGAAAAAGTTAAATTTTGCCACTATATTAAATGCCAAATGCTGGAGAGCCGTACATAATGAAACATAACTTTTTTTATTAAGTGTGTAACCTAGTTGTGCCTTAAAAGCATTGATCAGTCTTTCTACACTATCTTTAGTAATTCTAGAATAAATTAAAGTATCATTAGTTTTTATGTTTGAAACCGCATCTGGATTGTGACTGAGTGGTTGATCAGAAAATAAAATGGAAAAGAGATATATGGACAATATATACAAGTCAAAATTAATTTCAGTAGATTCTGAGTAAATGTAACAAGATAAAAAATCCAAGTAATATGTCGAGTGAGAAATATCGAACCAAATATCAAACTTCACCAAACACAACAGTTTATCAATCAACAATTGACTGTGGTTGGAAACGAAAATATTATCGTTTAAAATGAATTTTAGTAATTCGAACAAATCAGTGGTAAACTTTTTTCGCAATTGAGAGTGCAGCGTGTTACACGTGTTACACAGTTTTAAAAAAACGTTGAAAAGTACAACAAGGGTAACATGATAGTTGGAGTTGTTGTTTGCAGAATCTTTTAAGAAATTTATAATATCAGAAATTAGGACTAATGAGCCGTTTTCATTGGATTTCCTTGTCTGTGTGTCCTTCTTACACGAAGCTAAAGCTTGATTTTTATTAGTTAGTTCTTGTTCATACTTGTGGATAACAGAGAACGCACTCTTCATAAATTTATTGTTTAAACAGTGGAAAAAATTTAATAAGCTAAATTATATAATTTTAATGTTAATTTGACCTATAGGCTCAAATAATAAGGAAATATGGTAAAAAAAAATGAAATAAATATAACTGAAGATTTGGGCAACGAAGAGTTTGAGAATAAATACGTTCACGAAACTTACAACGTAATTGCTAAAAAGTTCAGCGGAACGAGACACTCAACTTGGCCACGAGTATCGCATTTCATTCAGACTGAATTGTCTTCAGCCGGCTTGCTTATAGCAGACATTGGCTGTGGAAACGGCAAATACTTAGTCGACATACCTTATAACTGTCGCTACATCGGAGTAGACGCCTGCGAAAATTTACTTGCGGAAGCTCAAAAAATAAACACGAAGCTCTGTAAAAATGCAGAATTTACAAAAGGGAACATTTTAAACGTCCCAATCGGCACAAATGCCGCAAACTGCTGCATATGTATAGCGACGCTGCATCATTTAAGTTCGCGAACCAGGAGAATGGCAGCTATGAAAGAACTTGTGCGCATTACTCAACACAATTGCAAAATTTTAATTTATGTATGGGCAATGGAACAAAAAGAAAACTCCATTGGCGCGAGGTCGTTCAATCAGCCTGATAACTTTGTTGACTGGCGAGACAACGAAAAAAATCTAGTCGGAAAGCGTTATTACCACATATATTCAAAAGAAGAGTTTCAGGCTGACATCGAAGAAGCACTCCACGATCTCGTCGAATTAATTGACTTAAGCTACGACAGCAATAACTGGGCGGCAATATTGAAGAAAATGTAAAAAGCTATTCGTCGGAAAATTTTGTTTTAATTAGTTCCACTTTGTGTTTGCTCTTGTTCAAAAGATAATAAATTTTGTCATGACTGAAAAGATTGCTGTTAGCGTCTGTTTTACTAATTGCTGCCTGCTTTTCGATATTGAATATTACACTATTAGTCCTGGATATTGTAATGTCAACGGATTTTCCGCACATCTTTAACAAGTTTGCTTTTGTGTAAATTGTGTACCGTTCATGTGAGTTTTCATCATGTGCATCTAAACCCGAATTGACAGTTGCTATCTGATTGTTTTGTATTTTAGCTCGTACAGCAGTGTTAGTAAGCTCAAATGCGTTCTTGAAAAGTGCAGCGTGGGGTTTAAGTAGTAAATCGTGCCAACGAGACAAATATTGTTCTTGTTCACAGACAAATTTTTTTTTGGATTGCATTTTGCGCTCGCTCTTATGACTGGTTAAAATAAATAATCGAAAAACACGAAATATCATAATAAAAAATTATTTTGGTTTTAACATCACGCATTCGTGTTAAATATTAATAGTTGTTACATGTCAATCTAAGAAATAAAAACTGTATGGACATCACGTCATTTTGCGAACTAGGAAATTTAACCTGTGAAATTCAAGCAAAAGCAAGAAATGGAAATCGTATTTTTTACATCATTGGTTTAGAACTACTTTCACGAGAGTTCATTTTGCATTTATTTAAAAACTGTTTTAACTTTGTTTACATAACTAGTGACCAATTCGGCGATCTAACTGATGAACCTAACGCTGTTCTCTTGTGCAGCAATGACGATGAATTACTTTTTGCTTGGCACCTGATGCCAAAAAAAAAAAACTTGATTTTGGTCGCTTACAACTGTTGTTACAACGATTTGTGCAGCTTGGAAACTAATTTATCGCAGTCCAACGTCGTAAAGAAAATAGTCACAATAAATCTGGTTCAAGTTTTAAGTGAGAAATGTTACGTATGGTATACTAAAACCATTAAAAGTTTTTTAGACAAGATTTATCACGCAGATTTTGACATTTCAAAGGTTTTAACAAGCATTGGAGACAGGTATTTCAAATTATCATTTTTGCAAATTGAAAGACTATTAGCAGCTGCAGTTATAAGCGAGATGGACATTACGTATAATTATGTTACTCATGTAATTGAAGACTCAGTGACAAACAAGCTCAACTTTTTAGATATTCAATATGGCAAAATTTCTCCCGTGGATGAAATTTTATTTTCTGATGTAATAAACCGCTTCAAATCAGAAATAAAAAGAGAGTGTTATTTTTTTGAAGTGCGTGGGAATGAAGCGTACACAGTGGTCAAATGTCTTTCACACTGCATTAAACAGCCTATTTTAAACATATGCGTTTCGGATATGTACAGTAAACATAGTGGAACGCGGGAAAAATATATGCAACGTATAAGTTCGTATCTCAGACTTTTTCCCGGAGTAATTATTGTTTTGAAAAAAATTAACTCTGAAGAGCACAGCTTAATTTACGATATAAAATCGTTTATTTATTTTGTCACATTGCTAAACAAAAACTTGCGAGACAATTCTTTTAAATCGATTATGATTTTTGATTCGTGTAGCGAGAAACTTTTAAGTCTAACTAATTACAAATTAATCGAAACCAAATTGGACCAAACAAACGACATTTTAGTTATGTTAGAAAATTATTTGAAAAAGACCATTAACGATACAGATATGATTGATAAGATACTGTTTAAGGTTTCCAAGAGCTACTTGAGCAATCGGTTATTAAACCCTAGTTCGATATCGAGACTAATTAAAAATGAACTTTATGCAAAAGTACGCGAAGAATCGAAACTTTGCTTAATCGATAATGGTGTCTTTTGAATTAGTCGAATCGTTGCCGACGATACATTCAAGAATTCTTTGTTTTTGCTTTTCCATTTCCACACAAAGTACATCGACCGAACTAGTGATAAGTTCGAGATTTGCTTTTGCAAATGAGAGTAAGGGGTTTATGAACTCGTCATTGCACGACATGTTTTTTAGGTCATCAATTTGCTTTTGAATTTTTTCAAAATCTAAAAAAGCATTGATTTCGTTGTTCCAGCGTTCCAAGATATTCAGCAAAGCATAGATTTTTCCTGAGTGGAAATGAATCTTCGATACTTGAAATTGTTTATTTTCAGTTTTATTAGTTTCAATGATTAGGTTTAGTTCTTCCTTTTCGTTTAAAACGGGGGCAACAATTACGGACTTTATTTGTGCTAAATCTTGCGTGGTGTAGATTTTTCTCTCCACTAATATGTCTAACACTCTGAACAACGGTTTTTTCAGGGATTCATTGAACGTTCTGATCAAAGGGGCCGTTCGTTTAAAAAATGTTAAAGCAGGTTGGTGAAACTCGACTGGTTCATTTTGTACAATATCGTTTACTATATAAATAATGGCTAATTTTTCTTGGATTTTCAAATTGGGCTGGATAAAAGCTTCAATAATAGAATTAACGATGATGTTACCGTTTACTACTTGTAACCAAGCTCGACAACAAGCACTAATTCCTCTTACAACATCCTCGGAACAATTTGATCTTTCTACATTAAATTTTTTTAAAAACTACTTACGACAAATAGTGTACACTGCTTCTGGTATTCCTGAAGGCGAAACTTGGTTAATTAGGTGTAAATATGTGCCAATATTATTCTCGTTCATTTTTTAAAACTATAATTAATAGTTTTAATCAATGTTAGAACAAAAAACTGATAGCGAAATGAGATTACTTCACTTTTTTATATCTATAACTGACGATATACCAGTAGATTTGTTAATTCCAAATAAATTTCAACCTAAAAATTATTAAATAAATTCGTCACTAATTATTAATAGCATAAAAAATATTTACATTTTTGAAAAATATAATTTTGGAAGTTAAGTGTACCACGCTGTTTTGACTTTGATGCCAATTTAAAAATATCAAGTATCAAAAAAACACAGTTACGATATGAATACTTTGAAACCACTATTGAATGACATTCTTTGTAAGTATCTCTTTTAGTTAATTTGACCAGGTTTAAACATTTTTTTTAGCGAGTGAAAAAAATGTACGAGCATCTGCTGAAAATAATCTTTTAAAGATTAGCGAGGAGAATACGGAACAGTTCATTCTGATGTTATTAAATATTCTGGTTTCAAATGAACATCCTAGTTTGAAACAAATGGCAAGTATATTATTTAGAAATACATTTGCTTTTGGAACTGGATTTGTCACGAATTATGAGTTTGCTATTACAAAATGGCTAACAAAACTTAGTAACGAGTTTAGAGCTAACGTAGTTAATCAGCTGTTTATGATTTTACATAATTCTGATGAAAAAAATCCTGACAATTTAAAACCTTTAATTCAAGTGGTATCCAGAATAGTTTGTTTACAATTTAAAGTTGGAGATCAAATTTTTTTTTCATTTTTGGAAGCTACTAAGGCAAATGTATTACTACTACAACGCGGTGTTTTATTGTTAAATTACGTAATTGATGATTTTATCGATGCGGTTGAAGTAGCTGGAGCTGAAATGATAAATCCAACATTACAGGATGTCATCATTAAATATTTGATTTTTTCATTGAACGTTGACGACGTTTACGTCATTTTAAAGGCATTAAAGACTTTAGTGCACAGTCTTGGTATTTTAAATGAAATATACACTACATATGATGCTGTTTACTCTATTTATCAAATGATAAATAGACATTTATTATCATATTTTATAAATGTTCGTTTGGCAGCCTGGGAATTTGTCATTGACTCTTTGAAAATATATTACAAGTTCTTTGAGCCCCTTTCGGAATTCTACATTCCGCTATTCGTCATAACAGTTTTGGTGGGTTTGCCAGAACTCCAACAGTTTGGTAACAATCCTAACGCGAGTATTGTAGCAATGTATAATGATGCAATCAGATTGACTCGAGAAAAAAACGAATATGAAATTTCTTCACTCAAGATTTACGCGATCGAATTCATTTCTAATATATGTGATATTGAACTAGATCATGTTAACAATAATAAACAGGATTTGGGACTCATAAAAAAATATAAAAATGAAATAGTCTCTGTTTTATGTATTGCTTCGATAATCACGAATAATGACGAATTAGCAGAACAGGAGGAATGGACAGTTTCAAAGGCTGCTTGTGTCGCAATCGGACTCTGTTTAAAACTATTGAAATACGAAATTTCTAATTTAATTTTGAATCATGTTAATCTAAATTGGAACAATGTGGATTGGCATAGAGCGGACAGTGCTCTGATTGTATTTACAGAATTTTTATCGTTACCTCCGTCTCCTGAAATTTCACAGCTCATTGGAAACACTTTTCCCAATATATTGAGTTGCGTCTTCTACGCAAAGTCTGTGGTTAGAGAAAGTGCTCTTTGCTTAATTGCAGTCATTATTGCAAATCATTTAAAGTCTGTAACTATGTTTATTAAGAAAACCGATTCTAAATCAAACCTCATTGATGTTTTGCTACATGCCTTAAACGATGAGCCACTCGTTGCCGTTAGAAGTTGCGACGCGCTATATAATTTGATTTTAGCATACAAAGTTGAATATGACCATCAAATATTTGATCTCGACAAGAATTATAAATCACTTTTTTCTAAGATGATTTTAACTGCGAAAAGGGCTGATGCAAGAGAGCACAGTTTGCAAAAGTGGGCTTTCGACGTCATATATGCGTTAATTGATAAATGCGATTCAATAACAGGCAAAACTCAGGAATGCAAAGAAATATGTGAAATACTTACGTCCTGGCTGGGTGACATGATTCATTTGCCCTATACCACGGAAATCGGAGCAACTGAAGCCTCAATTGTCGGCTGTTTAAATTCTCTTATCTTTAAAATGAACAATAAACTTTATTATGATTTTGACGACTTGATTATGTTGATTTTCAACACGCTGCAACACGGTACAATTCTACAAAACAACGTAATTACTCAAATTGGTGGCGCTGCTACCAATGTATATTATTGTTTTGAAACACTCATAAATAAATTAAAAGAAAATATAGCCAATAATACAGACAAGCTGTATTATTTTATTGAAGCAACGCTAAACAATCCGAAATTGGATGACGATACGCTTTGTGCTGCTCTTTCAGCCTGTTCTGCATTAGTTTTAAATGCTAAACACAATTTTAAACCTTTAGTAAGCAAGTGTATTTTATGTCTTGCGGCTTTTTTTGGAAATCCCAATTGTTCGTTAGAAATTCGCCCCGTTGTTATAGATGTTTTGTCAGATATTATAATCAAATTCGATTCCACTTTCCAAGCATTCATTTTAGATTTTATCGGAATTTTACAGAATGGTATACAAGTTGCAACTAATGAATTAAAATCTCCAGACTGTGATAATCCAGATTATTTTATTAAATTAGTTTGTTCATGCTATTATGCAATTCAAACTGTGTGTTATGCTAATGTTTTACCTTCAAATCAAGAGTTTTTCGATATACCCGAAATCAACAATCTAATAATGCTCGCTTTAAGCTCAATTGTTGTTGTTTTAGGACTGAGAAATGTAGAGGATGATGCTTTATGTTTTATAGCGTCGTTACTCCAAGATCTAGTTTTAAAGAACAAACGAAAATTCATTCCAGTACTTCACCAGTCGAACATTCTTGTTCTACTAAATAATGTGGCTTCGCAACGTAAATCAAAGGAGTTACGCGATAAAGTTATTGCATTTAATGATACTCTTAATCAAAGATTGTAGAAAAGGTAGTTTTAAATGCAATAATTTTTAGTTTTAAAATTTGATTTTTTGAAGTTTTATATTGACAAAAAATATAGTTAAATTTATTTCATTCATAATATTTAACTAGTTAATACAAAAATAGTTTTGTGATTTTTATTTAGTTAATTGTTTTACGAGGAAAAATAATTAGTTTTCCGCTATTGGAAACATTTTAGTTTTAATTATTTAATTGATCATTTTTTGAGTTTGCGAATAATTGGTTAGCGGCACTTGACATGGCAGAACCAAACAAAGAACTAGTTATTCAGTCGCAAGCCATCCAGAATAGCTACAAAGATTGTACTTTGTTAGAACGGTTGAAGCAGCATGATGTAAACAAATATTACGGAGTTATACCAGTTCAAAGAAAATATTTTAAAAACACTAAGAAATCTGAGAAAATGAATGTTTTGGTTTTCAGTTTTTTTGGTTGTAAGAAAATAGCAAGTTTATGCAATTCTTTGAGCAACGTGAATTTGATAAATATCACGCTTGGTTACAAACTAGATCAAAAAAATAAGAAAGAATTAAAATACAGCTATCTGCATTATCTCATACCTAAGCTGGACGTTCAAAAAATTGATTTTTCAGAAATTAAAAAAATTAGAAACGTTGCAAAAGTGTATGATTTAGGTTTTTCAGATTGTTTAGCGATTGCAAGCTCAAATTGTAGCGATGCTAAAATAGAGTTAAAGAAGTTGTTTGAGTTTTACCAAGATTGTATTGATCAAAAGAAGGAAATATGCATAGAAGGATTTTGTCAAAACGAATGGGTCGAGATGTTTAAAACACATTTTAACCAGAATAAACTAAGTGTGTCGATTTACTTGATGAAAGTTTTTGATAGCGTGCTTTCGAAATACCACATATTTAAAGATGACGGTAAAGACAATGATTTGTTTGAAATTGACTTCCTGTGTGACAACGGGGTTAATAAATTTCTGATCAGTCGCGCTGTCTATTTTGATAGAAAATCTGAAATTGCAAACAACATTTACATTGATTCCATTACAAACAGTATAGACAACAAACAGATTGAACACTTTTACATTCATGACAAAAGCACTGATAAGCCTAAGTACGAACTTTTAGTTTTTGATAGCACGACTAAGAACGGCATTAACAAGTACGAGCAAGATGTGAGTGTAGTAATCGCTTCTTTGGCAGATCAGCATCACTGGTTGTTTAACACCAAAAACGGATTAGCAAAACTTGCTATGTCAGCTAAGTCAAAAAAGATCATTGTTTTGTTTTTACTAGAATTCACTTCAACTCGCTGTGATTTGCCAAAAGAAGAGCTTTCGAAACTGATCGAACAAGATCTATCAAAAATTTTAAGCCAATTCGTCAAGTCTAAAGACAAAATTTACATCCAGACCATTAGCGACTTGTATACGGATCAGCGAAAAATAATATATACTACAAAAGCGAAGCTTGCTGGTGAAGTAGTAATATTCGATTCAGACGTTTGTGTAGACGACGAAGAACTTCACACAGGAGACTTTACAGAAACCATGTCTTTACTGAAGTCCGACGTCCATAGCAACTACCTCCGTAGAATCATGGTGTTTTCTCAAAGTCCTCGTTGCAGTCAAAGTGAGGTGTGGTACAAACTAGATGAAAACAATCTTCCAGATTTCCAATTCCACCACGTTTCTCACAGTTACCATTTGCACATTGTAGCAGCCATTTTATCTCTCAAAAAAATGTTGACTGAAGAAAAACTCAAAGGCAAAATATTCGGCTTAGGCGGAGGAACGTTGTCTTCAATGTTAAACACAATTTTCCCCAACAAATTAGACACTGTTTGCGTCGACATTGATTCCGAGATTGTTAACATTGCCAAACAATATTTCGGCTTTAAGGAGACAGAAAACACAAAAGTCGTAGTTCAAGACGCGATTGAATACATTAAAGAACAAACTGAAGTCAATGATTTTTTGATTGTAGATATTAACGGAACGCACGAGTATTTCTCCCCGATGTACCCAGATGTCACGGGGCCGCCTGTTGCGTTCTTGGACGAAAACTTTTTGAAGAAGCTTAAGTCTCTCGTTAGTGATGAAGGTTTCGTATTGATTAACTGCGTTTGTCAAGAAGAATCTGCTCGAGAAGCCCTTGCTGCGCATTTCTTAATGACATTCGATGTCGTCACAAGTTGTAAACTGCCAAAGGAACTAAATGAACTCTTCATTTGCGGAGGACCTGCTTATGGCAATTTAAACCAAAACATAGTTCATTTGAGAAACTATTTCAAAGGTTTTGTAAGTTTTTAATGATTTAACTATTTTAGGAAAAACACTTCCCCGAGATCAGACTGCTTACGCAAGTCAACCCACAGTTTTTGAGCAAACACTCGAATATTGTCACCACCGTCAACTATTGGAAATAAATTTTTGCTAGCTATACATCTCAATATTCAGTGCTATAATTTTATTTGTCTTGACTGGCTGGCGTAGTTGACGCGTGTGAAAAACTCTGTTTTCACGCCAAATATTTATTGATACGGCCAATATAAAATTTTTTGTCTTTTCCGTTTTTCACGATTAGTGAACGAACTACACATGTTTTTAGTTCTGCAATTGTGACTAAGTTGACAACTATTGCGTTTAGCGGTAAATTATTTGTCGAGTGTTAAACAAATAAGAAACACGTCACACATGGACAATGAGCAAAAGTTTCGTGCTTACACAACAATAATACATACGTTTAGCAAAAATATCAACAATATTGTTGTGAAAACGGCTATCTTGAGTTGAACCTTACTACTTAGCCACGACAGTTTAAATCATAAATTTCAAAATGCTTATATCATTACGTCATAGTATGCAATTTGCATTTGCGAAAGTAAAAATCGAAATGACAATTGTCAATATTATGAAAAAAAATTATTTTTGATCAGTTCAATAATTTATTTTATTTTCAACTTTAATGAACGTGTTGAAAAAAAAGACGAAATATAGACGGAATTGACAAGGCTTAATAACATAAAATTAAATATTAAAAATCTTGAGTTTTAGTCTAAAAAATAATTTCTTGTTTGTATGGAAAATAAATGAAACTCAAACTAGTTATTTTTAAAATTTCGAAAAAATAATTTCGTCGTCTTAAGCACAAAATTTGCAGACTACTACAAAACGTTTATTTCAATTCTAAATGAAATAAATAATCGCGTATGATTTGTTTTTTATGTAAAAACTTGCTCATGAAAATTTGCAAAACGTGTTTTCAAGTTGGAAGCAGGTCGTACCTCGAAGATAAGATCATATTGAAAAATGTACTTCATTTAACTTCGCCTAAATTCTGCTAGTTCGTCAGTGTTAAAAATTTTTTTTACTAGATGTGACACAAGCCGCCATGAAATAGTTATTTACCGCGTGTAAATATTAATTATCAGAATCAACGCCACCCACTTAAGATGAAGTCAAAAATTGAAAAATTAAAAAAAGAATGCTGAAATATGTAGACTTTTTTGCCATGCTGAAAAGTGAACTAAAAATTTTTCGCGAGATTAAAATTATAAATATAAAAATACGCAGGCAGTACTTTCGTACCGGCAAATAAAAAAGCAAAAATGGCTAGAATTAATTTGATTTAAACTCGTATTTTCCCTGCTGAAGTCTAAGGTTATTGAATAAAAAGTTTTTCGAAAAACATGCGTCACGCTATTTAGTTTACGCAGAATTCCAAACTTACTTGCACCAGTTTGGCAAACTAAATTGAAGTGTTAATTTTATCAAACCGTGATGCGACTTTGCATTTGACAGAAATCAATTTATTTTCAAAATAACTTTTCCAACAATTTATCTTTATTTTGCAAATAATATATTGTTTTTTTGCGCAGATGGCGTGCAAAACTTTTAGATCTTGATAACAAATTTTTCACTAGAAGGTTTGCTGAGATAATTCGCCGTTCAATGTTTAAGTTTCACTGCTTGCTCTCATGTTCGCGTTCGCTGTTTATGATGTTGCCATATGTGGTACGGGCCGAAAAGTCGGAAATCAAGAGCACGATCGTTCATAACTTGGCTAAAAGCCAATAGTGCAGCATTTCATCTACCTAACGCTAAACTTGAGCACGCGTTATGTAACCAAACGAGACAATGGTTCCGCAACGTACCACTTTCAACACTGTACTAGTTTACTATTTCCACGTTTAAGTACCAACAAATCAAACAACGATCCAACCCGTAGTGGACAAAAGTTACTTTTGATCTTTACAAAATTCGCAAGAAGGATACTCATGCAACGTTCGTGCTTGTAATGTTAGTGAAGTTATTTGAGTGCATTGCGAACAGGTGTTCCACAATGAAACAAAGTACCACTGTCAGCGACCTCGAGACCGATCTTCATTCGCGTTATGTCTACACCTTTTAAAAAAATAATACTTACCACTCTAATAAACTATAAATAGAAAATGAAAAAAGCATTATATTTAGTTTCCCTGCTTTCTTTTGCTTTTGTACAAGGTAAGCAAACTATAAACTCGGAAAATGAAGCCATATCTCAAACAAGCAATGATGATGTAAACACCAATAATCTTGGTTCAACTCTTTTTAACGATGATTTTATGAAGCAAATGGGTGAGCTGATAGAGGCATTACGATCGGTCGACCCCGCTTTTATTGATTCTCTGTTGAATGAAATTGATAATTTTAAGTTGGACTCTGAAAATTCTGCTGTTTCTAACGAAAAACCGCAAGACAATAGCAACACTTCAGCTTCTGACAGTAGCAATTCTAAAATTAATAGTTCTAACGATTCGACGAACGAGCTTCCAGAAAATGGACAAGCGAATCACACCAATTTTGAAAACGACGAATTATAAGCAAAAGCCAACGGCCTTCTTGGTTAGTACGTATGTTTTGAAGCGCGAAATATTAGTAAAAGTCTGATAACTTTTATTATTATTAGAAACGACAAAAATAACATACTATTTAATTTGACTTTAATCAGATCGATGCAAGTCACATAATTAATCGTTAATCGTCAGCTTTAAACAGTACCATACCGAGTTCAAACTAAATCTAATTGCAAATCTCATTTATTGTCTCTTATTAGCACACATCGATCGAAAAACATATATACATGGTTGCAAACTCGCCTTCGTGTCAAAGATTTTTTTCTATGCTAGAGGTAGGTAAATTTCAGTTGATTTAGCGTAACCATGGCTAAATTGATAAACATAACGCGAAGTTATTCTTATTTATTATCATATTTTATATATTGGGCGCGGTTTACCGCATCAAATATCATTAAAATTTGGCTTTCAATTTTTTCACGGTTAACCAACCTGTAAAAAAGTTAAAAAATAAATCGTGATTGCTAGATTTAATTGTATAGTAACATTAATTCAGATTAATGCTTATGAGATTTGATACATAACCATAAAGAAATTGAGTGTAATTTAAGTTGTATTGTAACAATTATTAACTGGGCCGAAAAGGCTCTCTCAAATAGTTAAAATAATCGTTTTGAAAAATTTAGTAGAAACAAGCTGGCGTAAAAAAATCAGAAACCATCAAAAGGATACCCTAATTGGGCGTGAAACGTATTTTTTGTAGAAAATCGGCAATAGCTTTGACCAGTCTATCCGTTTAAAATCATGGGTAGTCGGCACAATGTAGACAATGTTGGCTCATACAGCTGTGATCACTTATTTAGTGCGGCACGCGCTGGCAAAACAAAGTCAGACCGTTTTAGTCGATCATATAGTGGTAAGCAAAATCAATCAAGAGTGCACGTCGAATCTATCTAAATTTAGCCAAACTAAAGTCAACAAAAACCATATAAAAAAACTTGGAACTAAAATGTTTCAGAAATTAGTAATATATGTTCGACTGAGCACTCAAAGTAGGCTAGTAGCGTCAAATAACAAAATAAAGGGACATCCTTTGTCTCAAAAGACTTCGAACATTAGACGCGGTACACACAATTTTTTTTCTTAAGTTTAGTATCGTAAAAACTGGCTGTTAAAATGAGACAATATTTGCATTTATTTACGATTTTATCAGCTGTTAAGGCAGGTGAATTTCTTTTGACGCCAAACATTGGTTGTCCCCCAAACATGACATTGACGGGAAAAAAATGCGTAGGAACAGTTTTTAAACCATCAATGCCCGTTTGCATGAACGGTGAGCTTGTGGATGGTGTGTGTCTAGCTTCAACACCAGCCCTAAAACACTGTCCTGAAGGGTCAACGATGCAAGGAGGCGTTTGCGTAACTCAAGTAATGAGCGAAGCAGTTCAAGTTTGTCCGCCAGGAACGAACTTAGAACTACAGCAATGTAAAGCTGTGCGTCCGTTAGAAATCGTCAACACGTGTTTGAAAGGAAAACTCGCTCCAAACGGTAGTTGTGTTGACATCGAAAAGGTTTCCAAGTTAGAACAAATTGAATGTCCTCCTGGATTTTACAACGAGGGAGATGCATGTACCAAGATTAGTGAGTATGATTGCAGCCCAGAAGCACCTCCTCTTCTAACTCCTAAAATTGTAAATAAAACTGTCACCGAAACTACAAAGCCTTTACTGATCTCGACACGAGTTCCAGTTAATCACTATCACTCGAATCATGGTCATCACAGAGGCTATCAAACCCGGGGTGGCATGAGATACCTAAATTCATCCCATAGATCTCACGGCCATACCCACTCAGGACATCACCATTCATCCATAGTGCCGATAAAGATCGCTCCTGCTCCAGTACGGGTCGAGGAAGAAACAATAATTGTAAAGGAACCTGTCATTACCAGCAACGTTGCTGTAGTTGAACAAAAATGCAGACGCCAAGATATCGTGGCACCCCTCCTTAAAAAATTCTGTCCTGCTGGTTATGATGATAACGGATCCTACTGTACTCGATCAGTTACCTACCCAAGCGAACGAGTTTGCATAAACGGTTCATCTATTGATAAATGTTTTAAAACAGACATATTTGAACCGGTTTACGTTTGTAACATGGGTACTCTCGTCGACGGAATGTGTATTACACAATCGCAAATCGCATCTGAATCTTACTGTCCCCCCGGAAGCAGGCAAGAAGGAAATAAATGTGTATTTATCAGCCAACCCCAATTTGTCTGTGAATCTGGAATGAGACTGGAAGGTACACAATGTATCGGTAAAGAAATCGCAGAACCTGTTGGTGTAATCGAAACTCCTTGTGTAGGCAAGCAGTGTTTTACCTCACCATAAGTGTAAATTTTATATAATATATTTATTTATGTTTAATTCGAATAATTCAATATCATTTTAGCTAATGCTACCGGATAATATAGAATCTCATTATAATCTGCAAATTTTATTGTCAAACGCTTTAGCGCAATTAAGAGATAGAGCAGTATGCTTAATGGAGGATTGGAGTAAACACGCCACTTTCGTTGACAAATGTTTGTTTACGCCTGTTCCAATACGATTAATCTCACTAGAAAGTAATCAGGGTTGGCTAATTCACTGGTGTTCTGTTGTGCTTTCTTTATGTGGTAAACAAAACGAATCTCATTTCAACATGTAAGTTTCAATTTAACACCTATATTAGATGCCGTAAACTTTTTTCTAATACTAAGACGCAATACGCTATGAGTGGATCTAGTCTGAAAGTTCAACATATAGGAAACACATTTGGATTTGCAGCTAGCTCACTTGCTTTTGAATTAGTTGATGAACTTCAACATATTGATGTAAATAAAATTTATCAAGAATTATCATGTAAAGATGGTTCTCTTGCTTCATTTCCAAAAGGAGAAAACGATGTAAGGTATGTTGTAATGGCACTTATTCTATTAGGTCGATTTTTTGTTTTCTGTGCACAGGAAAAATATTAAAACAAGACACAAGCATCTATTCAAAACCTTTATTAAATTTCTTAAACGGTTGTAAAAAACTTGGTGGAGGTTATAGTGGAACTAAATATGGAGAAGCACACTTGGGCTACACATATTGTACTCTGAGCTCCTATTTAATGCTCAGTAAAAAACCTGAGAACTTAGCAAATACATACGTATGTTACTAGTATATTATATTTTTTTAGGCATGGTTGATCAGTAGAATCTCGAAAATTGGTTGTAATGGACGGTCTGACAAACTTGTAGATGCTTGCTATGCTTTTTACTTGACTGCATCAATCATACTAGTTGAATTTTTCGCTGGCTTTACAACTGATAAATCTACGTTCAAACCAATAGTAGACTTTCTTATTATATTCTGTCAAACATCTACTATAAACTACGTTGAAGGTAAATGGATTTTAGGAAAAAATGAAGGAGGATTTTCTGATAGATCTCCTAATAAGCCTGATGTGTATCATACTTGTTACTCAATCTCTGCTTTGTCTTTATTAAAAAATTACTACAAATTCGTTGAAATACCGAGTATAAACTGTTGTGATCCCATACTCAACGTTCCTTTAGATATTTCAATTAAACATATGAATGTTCCCAATCAAAATGATAATCTTTATGATGAGTTTATAATCTGGTTTTCAAATAAAACAAAATAATCGTGCTTCTTACCTACCATTCTCTCACTATCATTTAAATGTAAATATATGTGTATATTATATATCTGTGATATAAGTAGGCTATATCTAAATAACAAATAAATTTATTTTTACACTGTTATATTTGTATGTGTGCGGCAATTTTTAAGTATTATTAATTCATGAGCGAGTTAGAAAATCATAAGTGTATCTGTGGATGGGATTTGAAAAGAATCAATTCTTATGAATCTATTTGCTTAAAGAAGGCTTGTGGTGACAACGTCGATCCTCATTGTGGCACATGTTGCACTCGTGCTTGTTCGTCTGATTTTTATAATCTAATAAATAAGGAATTAAACCCAACGATCTCTGAATTGAAGTCAAATATAATCAGTCAAGCAAAATATAATTTAGGAAGAAATGAGTCAACTTTAAATTCTGATAGCATGTATCAGGCAGCTTCGTATACAATACGTAGTTATTTATTAGATAAAATGAATAAAACAAAAAAGAAGTATCGTGAACAGTCCGTTAAAAGATGTTATTATCTCTCGATGGAATTTTTGATGGGAAGAGCCATGCAAAATGCTATTGTAAATATTGATTGCGAAGAATCTTTTAGAAAAGCTTTATTGGATCTAGGATATGAACTAGAAGATTTGTATGAACTAGAATGTGATGCTGGACTCGGTAATGGCGGTTTAGGAAGATTAGCCGCATGTTTTTTAGATTCTTTTTCAACGTTGAATTTGCCTGTATGGGGATATGGTATTCGATTTCAATATGGTATATTTCAACAGAAAATTGAAAACGGTTGGCAAAAAGAATATCCAGATTATTGGCTGCAACGCGGGTATCCGTGGGAAATATATCGTCCCGACGTATCCTATCTAGTCCAATTTGGAGGTAAGGTTGAGCGATATTTTGATTCTAACAATATTCAAAAAAGTAGATGGGTTGAAGGCAAAATGGTAAAAGCAATTGCCTACGACAATCCTATTCCAGGATATAAAACTGAAACTTGTAATAATTTGCGTCTATGGCGATGTGTTCCGCTAAATGAATTTGATTTCGACGCATTTGATAATGCAGATTATTTCGGAGCTAAAAAAGAAAAGGACGAAGCAGAAGCTATTAGTAGTGTCCTTTATCCAAATGATAATGACTATCAAGGAAAACTGTTAAGATTAAAACAAGAATATTTTTTTGTTTCAGCTAGTTTACAAGATGCTCTTAGACGGTTTAAGAAAAATTTTGGAACTGATTGGAATAAATTACCGAGTAAAGTCGTATTTCAGTTAAATGATACGCATCCTGCTATTGCACCAATTGAATTGATGCGATTACTGATTGATAGTGAAGACTTATCTTGGGAGCAAACAAAATCATTGTTTTCGAAATGTTTTGCTTATACTAATCATACTGTTTTACCTGAAGCCTTAGAAAACTGGGATATCGATTTATTTAAAGAATTGTTACCAAGACATTTGGAAATTATAAATCAATTAAACCACGAAATGTTGGAAGGAATTAAACTCGTTTTTGGAAATGATTGCAATGATTTGTTGAAGAAAATCAGTGTTTTTGAAGAAAAAAACGGAAAGTTTCTCTGTATGGCTCGTTTAGCTGTTATTGGATGTTTTAAAGTAAATGGAGTAGCGGCGTTGCATAGTCAACTAGTCAAAGATTTAATTTTTCCAGAATTTGTTTCGTACTATAATAAAATTAATTTGCAGAACAAATTCATTAACATAACTAATGGAGTGACTCCACGAAGATGGATACACAATGCTAACCGGAGCTTAAGTGAATTGTATACCAAAACTCTAGGTTCAGAAAACTGGCTGACAAATCTAGACCTTTTGAAAAAGTTGAACAAATTCAAAACGAACGCAGACTTTATAAGCAGCTTCAAAAAGATAAAATTCGAAAACAAACTTAGGTTTGCTAAATGGCTGAAATTCACCTACAATATTACTATTAATCCAAATATGTTGTTAGATGTTCAAGTTAAAAGAATCCATGAATATAAACGTCAGCAACTTAATATATTTTATTTAATTCACAGATATTTAGAAATCAAGAGTATGACACCGCAGGAGCGCATGAAATTGATTCCGAGGTGTTCTATAATTGGGGGTAAAGCTGCGCCTGGTTACTATGCAGCCAAAACAATAATCAAGTTGATAACAAGTTTTTCTGAGCTTGTAAACAATGATCCAGACGTAAATAGTTATGTGCAAGTTTACTTTTTGCCTAACTACAACGTGACTAGTGCTTCTCTGATTATCCCTGCTTCTGATATAAACCAGCAAATTTCTACTGCTGGAATGGAAGCTAGTGGAACTGGTAACATGAAATTTGTCATGAACGGAAGTTTAATTGTTGGCACTATGGACGGTGCAACAGTTGAAATCGTCGAGCAGTGCGGAGAAGACACAGCATTTATTTTTGGAGCGTTTGAGCATGAAGTTGCAAATATTCGTCAAAATCAAACCAATGGACTTTACAATATAGATTTCCGACTAAAACGTGTTTTTGATTGGATTAACGAAGGACACTTAGGACAAAACGACGAAGAAACTAATAAGAGACTAAATGATTTTGTTAATTCTCATTATCGCCGCAATGGCACCAGGTGTGCTGACTATTTCTTGTTAAGTAACGACTTTGGAAGTTATATTGATGCTCAAAATAGAGTAGACGAAACGTATAAAGACGAAGCTAAGTGGTGGGAAAAGTCCATCAATGCAGCAACTTCTATGGGCTTCTTTTCTACCGATCGAACAATCAAAGATTATTCCGAATTAATTTGGCAAGTTGAACCATGTTTGTGAACAATTGAGAAAGCAAATCGCTTTTTTAAAACTATTGCACTGTAATTAATTAACTATTTACGAGATTCAAGTCGTTATATATTTGTATTGAAGTATTATAATACATTTGGTATATTAATTTTTTTTATCATTTTTCTATTTTCTGATTTTAATGAAATATCGGCTTTGCGTTGGCTTTGGAAAAGCTATTATTAATAAATTTAATTAATTCATAGGATAAGATTTTATTCAAGCCTGATTAATAGCAGTACAGGCGATGCCTAATGGATGCACAAGTTTTCGCGAAATCGTTGACAGTTTACCAGTGACCACTTTGCTTGTGAATACTGAAATTTCAAACAGCGTTAATGAAAAAAAAATAGATCCGGAAAATGAGAAAAAACGAACCATATCAGAAGATTTTCTTAGAATTTTTCCGGATATTTTAAAATTAAATAACGAATACGTGTTTTACAATAACGAGCTGAAATCTATTACGCAAAAAGAAAAAATTCTTTCTTATTTTAACGAAGCTTTAAAGATTTATGTACTTTTGTGTTATAAAATTCTAACTGGAGATTTCGATACATGTTCAGACACGTTAAAAGCAGCAACTGAACATTCGAGAGCACTGTATGCCAAAGAATTTTCACCTATATTTAATGAAATATTCGAGAAAATAATTCTTTTCACATTCTCCATTATTGAAAAAACTGAATTTCAACTTAAAGATCTAAAGTCGTTTTTTGTTTTGTTTAAGTTGTCTGATACGTATTATGGCGAAATGTCAGATTGCACCTACGAAACTGTGAGTTTTTATTTGTGTTGCAAAAAGCTCGCTACTTATTGGAATATTATATATAAAAAAGAAAACGGAAATTCACTATTGACCTCTTACAAGTTTCTCCACGGAATTTACGTGAAATTTTTGGAAAACTTTGAATTCTGCGATGCGAGTGGTCTTATATTGAGTGCCGCGTCTCTCACTTGCTTCGAATTAACCTTAAAAAATTATTTTAGCAGCGATACGTGCTTAACAACAACTATGTTAGAACTTGAACAGCTATTCCAAATGAATGACGATAATTTCATCACTAAATACTTTATCTCAGGATTAAATTTACTTTACGATCTTGATCGAAATAAACTCCGAAACATAGTTACTAAAGAAGGATTACGCGTCAAAACACAACTTAAATCTCTAATAACCGATGTTTCCAAATGCATAATAAACGGCTTGTTGTTAACAAAATTTGGAATTACAATCGCCAACTATGTTAAACAAATTACAATGGTCACTCTAAAGTTGTTTTGTAAAAGCCCTGCTCAAAGTTTGTTGCATATTGAGGTTGAAAATAAAGATGACTGTTTGGCTAAACTGATCTACTCTTTGTTACTAGACTATTACATATTTGAATTAGTAGATGAACACCTCAAAGCTATGAACCAATACTGCTCGCAATTACCAAACAAACCGCATGTTTTGTGTGATATGGCTTACAACAGCTTGAAAAATATAAATGAAAGCATCACTGTCGATGGAGAACATTTTTATACAGTTGAAACAAAGTTGAAATTTCTTCAACTGCAACATTGCACTTGCAGAAGCAACGATCACTTAAACGAGCAAACTCGGTTCATGTAGTTTCGATTGAACGCATTTGATTATCGCGTTGGCTGCAAATTATTAAGAAATAATTTAAATTATTTTTGTGAAAAATAATTCTCGTTCATGAGTTATTATATTAGCTCATTTGAAAAGTTAATAGTTTCTTCTTCTCTTCGTGATGTAAACACTTATAAGGCTTTTGTCGGAGTCCTCGAAACTAAAAAGGTTACTATTTTTTTACGATATTTAAATCAATTAAAGATTATTTATAAGACTGAGAACACACATAGCTTCGAAAAAATAGATTTGTTTTCGTCTGGCTTCGTGCTTTACACAAAAAACTCAGCCCGTTTCGATGTCAAGCTGATTGATTTTGATACTATAGAAAGGCTTTGCAACGATTTGTTTTTTTCGAATTTAGACCCGTTGATACAAGAAAATGATTACCTTCACTTAAACCGATCAAAATTTAATATAAACTTAAATACTTTTTTTTTAGATCTGTCACGTTTTTCTGATCGGCGCGAAGCGCGAAATGCTTATAATAAACAGACAGAAGTGGCATGCTGGGTTGATTTTTGTTCTTATAAATGTGAGCCAAACTATTTTCCGCTAGAAGAAATCAATTCTGAAGATTTTACTAATTTTAGATATGTAGAATATACCTTCAATTACAACATTTCAGAGCCAGTTTTTTGTTATTATAAAGCTCCTCAGCACTCCACGGAATTTGGAGAGGCGCAGTTAGAAAATTTGTTCGTTTTATTTCTACTGGATAACGACTGTTGCGCTCTGGTTAATAAAAATGTTCTAATCTCCCATAAACGGCTGCGTCCTTCTCATTTAAAGTCTTGGAAAAACTCAAAACTGAATGTTGTTTTCAAAGTCCAAAATAGCGATTATTTGTGTGCTTATTTGGTTGCATCGACAGGAGAATTTTTTACGGTTAAACTCGTCAGCGATGCTTTTCATACCGACGCAATAAAAACAAGCTATTTTCAGTCAGACTGTGCTGTGCTACATGCCGCTTTAATAAGCAACGATATGATGTATGCTTTTGAAGCTAATGAAACGAGTCAATGTTTTATAAGATATTACAAATTGCAGGATACCCAAATAGTTCTTAATGGGGAACTCAAAATTCCGCTATTTTTAAGTAGCTTCAACCCGAAATTCTTGTTTGATGCAATTACAATATTAACTGTTGAAGCGCAAAAAGAAACTACCGTGCTAAGTTTCCATAATATTTTCGACGAAAACGTTAAAAAAACGTTATCTCTGCCGTTCAAAGTAGAAAACACAGTTTCATTCGTCTACGAGTACGCTCAAGAAGTTTTGCTTCAAACTCAGACTAATCTATTACGTTTTTTTGTCGACAAAAATTTGTCTTCGCGAATCATTTTAAACAAATTAGATCGTCCGAAATACTGTATAGTGAACAGAAACGATTCCTTGATAAATCACCATGTCATCGAACAATTAATAACGTCCAATCCGACCGTTTATTCCTTTATTTTCTTATTACTTAAGAAAAAAGCATTGTGTCATACATGTTTCAGCGAAAGATATCTAATATTTTACCTAGAGCACGATGAACTATTATTGGTGGATTTAACATCTAAAGTATTAAATACTTTGACGATAAACTATGACATCTCAGCTTTTGAAAACTGGAAACACAATCCAGTAGTACAAATAGTAGAAAATCTGACCGATTCATTCCTATTAACCTTAAAAAACGCAAACATTCTTTGTTTTAGTATCAAAGACATTGTGAACGTGTTTTTGGCCAACGCTTCCCGTCCCTGTGGAAACCAAGCAACATTCGATCTAAAAGAAAGTCTGTCTTTGAATGTTTGCATCAATCCACTCGAAATTGTGAAACAAACAAATTACTACATCATTTTTGGGGATGATGCTCACGAAAGAATTTTTGTCGTTGATCTAAATTCGAAATGTTATTTTACCAAACGTTTCGCAGTAAGGTTTAGCCAAATAATTTTCGATCAGCAAAATGGGGTTTGGCTGCGTTCGAAGTATTTAGTCAAACTAACACCAAACACTGTGCACAGCGAGAAACCACACATTGTCCTCGATTTTAAGATTTTCAATGTTTTTTTTGCCAACCGTGATGTACTTATCAGCGCGAGAAATGAAATGGTGTTTTATCTCACGCAAACCGTAGCCAGTACCGGCGTTATCAGCACTACAATAAGCTGCAAAAACATAGAACTAGCAAAATACGAGCTAGCCGTCCAAAAAATTATTGAAAATTACCGACCGAAACGGCTTCAACAGTTGATTAATCTCTTTATGGTTAATACTTCCAAATTCGAAATAATCATGGCTACTGTGAAAAACTTGCTCTTGTTTGTTCGAATCAACTACAAACCTGAGATAATGAAAAACCTGTTGACGCACTTAATTAACTACAACCAAACTGGCTTGATCTCGATTTTCGAAAGTCTTCCAGCATACTTTGTCCAATCCAAATGGAACCAAGAACTCAGTTACTGGTTTTCCCTATTGTACGAACTGGCGTTCCCCACCGGTACACTCACGCCAAACGAGTCTTCGGCCCAGCCACCCTCTAAACTAAACGAATTTTTAATTTGCCATTGTCAAAAAATTTTGTATAGTTTTCTCATAAATGCAGAATTTGCGATTTTTGAGTCTACTTTAGCCATTTACAGCATTGAGTCCGAAAAACCCAAACTAGATATCATTTTGTGTTCACTTATGCTGCAAATTTTGTCCGAGTTCCACGTTGCTCTAGCCGTATACCTCGTCAAAACATTAGAACTTTCTCCAGATCTTTTACTGAAACAAACCCAAGTCCAGCACGTTGCTGCTAAATATAAGTCTGTCAATCACTCAGATCTGGTCTATCTCCAAGAACAATTTTTTTGGTTCAACTTTTCTTCTACACCTAATCCAAATTTTTCGACAAAGTTTTCTAAATCTTATCAAAACAATTTTTTCCTCGAATTTTTAAAATTAAAAATCTTTCTAGTAAATTCTGGTCTCGCAGACGTTGCTCTTACTCTCAGTAATTTGATTAACGAAAAAACTGTCGGGAGCAATACAGGTTGACGTTAAAGTACGTCGTCCTGATCGGCTCCTGCACCTTCAAACTTCCTCTTAATGGCAAATGGTTGTTGAACTTCAAATACAAGAAGTTCGAGGAGTAGGCTTTTGGTGCTGGAAAAAAACTGATATGACTTGTCATATATGTTTCCAACTCCATGAGTTCCCGTGTCCCTCCTGCGTCAAAATTTCTAAAGACTGCCAGCCCGTCAGTGGCGAATGTGGACACAGCTTTCATAAACACTGCCTCGCCAAATGGTACGAAAGCAAACCCAAAAACCTCAAATGTCCGCTTTGTCGGCAAAATTTTCAAAATGAAGATTTG